ATTAAATGTAATAAAGTTTTTTTATTTTTAACTGACGCTGCACCATACATGGTGAAAACGGCTAATACATTAACTGTATTATTTCCAAATATGATACATGTGACATGTGTAGCCCATGGTTTACACAGAGTGTGTGAAACAATAAGACTTGAGTATCCAAATATCGATAATAATATGATAAGTTGTGTGAAAAAAGTATTTTTAAAAGCTCCGAGTCGTGTGTTGAAATTTCCAGAATTATTTCCAGAATTACCTTTACCTCCACATCTAATACTTACCCGATGGGGAACTTGGCTAGATGCCACATCATATTATGCTGATAATTTCAATTCTATAAAATCGGTGCTTTTGTCTTTTGACGAAAATACTGCAAAATCCTTAAGAATGCTATAGCTTTATTTTAAAATAGAACTATACAAAATGATTTAGCTTATATAAAAAGTAACTTTAGCTATATCACTCAATCTATTTTGAAATTAGAAAATGCATCACTTTTACTCGATGAGAATTTGGAAATCATTGAAAACACCAAATCTAAACTTGGCCAAAACAAAGGACCGATCGCTGAAAAAATCGACAAAAAAAAAAAAATGTGTTAGAAAAAAATACCGGGCTAAAAGCTATGTCTACGATACGTAATATTTTAAATGGCAACAATGTAGATGAAGATTTTCCAGATCTAACTCCTGGGGAAGTTACAAAATTTAGATATGCAAAAATTACGTCATGTGATGTCGAACGGAGTTTTAGCAAATATAAAAACATACTAAGGTCAAACAGAAGATCGTTCATTTTTGAAAATTTAAAACATCATGTAGTTGTTTCATGTAATTCATTCGAGTAGCTTTATCAATTTTATATCAATTAATATTTTAGAATTTTTTTAATGTTTTTATATTTAAGTGTTTAACATATTTATTTTTATTAATTGGTATTTAATTTATAGAAAATGTGTTTTTTAAATAATATTTATTTGGTATATTTAAGCATATTTTTATTGCATATTTTTGCATATTTTTAATAAACCAAATGCATATTTAATCATTTTTTATTGCATATAAATCCTAGCCCTACTCATTACTCATACATACAGATCAGCCACAAGCGTACAACCGTGACAACCGAATGAAGGTAGGGCCGTTATTGTCGTATACAAAGTGATAGTCACTCGAACGGGCCAAACGACAACGTCAGTTCCATGGGAAGACCGTAAAGGTACCTAACTATATATATTCTCATAAGTTTATTTCCATGAATTTGTACAAACATTCATACAAGAGAAAGGACAAACAGTGAGATTACCAACTGCATGAGAAGATAAACACAATTTAGAAGGTCAAAACACAATGCTTCAAATTTAATTCAAAACATTGAAATGAATAATATTACGAATTTTTTTGTGTCGTATCTGTGTCTATCGTTATAGTAGTTAAAATTTACTTAATAGTGATTTTTTTTCTGCCAAAATATAGATTAACGATGCCGTAAGCAATCTGAAACAAATTTGAAGTTGATTCGGAAACACTTAAACCCTAAAATTCAATACAAAGTAAATTTATGTTAAAATATCACTCATATATACAAATATATTTAATGTACTCAAATTTAATACGGTTTAATATTTAATGTACTTAAAATAATGTAAAATGTAAATTTATGTATACATATAGATAGCTCTTCATACGAAGAATTCAATTATGTTTATATTATATTTATATCTCAATTAGAAATATTTTTATTTCGTTATTTATTTCTACTGAACAATTTCAAAAAGTGGAGATAGCCGGTTCTTGCACCGGACCCTTCATATTGTGAATCGTCTCCGATGAGCGACGACGATCAGCTTTTTCCATAGATGATAGATATTATAATATAATATGTCGTTATCAGTCTTCGAGTTTTTGAATTCTTTGGATGACACATTGACACGATACATTTTTTATTTCAGATTCCGAAACATAATATTATTCGGAGTGTTTAAATCTATACAATTCATAACACGGAACTATGCGTATAGGCCATTTAGATATTAGATACACTACTGTCGGGAGTCCATTTTTTTGTCCGGCATCTCACAACATTGTTTTTAGTTTTAACTGTTAAACTAGGTATAACTAAATATAAAACGCTAGAAGTGTCGAGACATGAAAAAAATTCAAAATTTGGCTTTGAAATTTACAGAAGTAATAAAAAAATGGATACTTTAATCGTGAATATAATATTCTCTCTGGGCTCGGCATTAATATGTTTCAAACAATATTATTCTAAAATAGTGCGCAGTATTTGCTAAAAGATTTGTGTGATTATATTATACTACTACACTATAGTGTAATAAATAATGTAATATATACACAGCCGTGTAGGTACCTAACTAAGGCTATCACATAAAGGTAAGTGACGGGGGAAAAAACCTTATGACCAAGGTTCAGGACTTATAGCATTTGCATAATTTTTTTATTTACTGTAAAATGTAGCAGAGTGCGAAATAAATTCATACCGAATCTAAAATTTGAATGTGCATATTTTGCATGGTTCATACATTTTGCCGGAAACCGCTAATTTTTACGTTATTGTGCTTAATTTGCATATTTTAGAAAAATTTTCGAAATTTCAATTTCACAAATTTCACCCCATCTAAAAAAGATAATAGTAATGCAGCTTACTCGCAGTCTTATGTACCTATTTGCTATGTACAACTCACAATCACAACTCCTTATAATTTTCGTTATTTGAAAGTGTGCCATCAGCCGTTGAAAAACGACTGTGTTTCAACTGTGCTACTACTACTAAAACTATACCAAGTCCAACAATAATTTTAAAATCATCATTTAGCAATGATTTGGAGTTAAGTTTGAAAGAATACAGAGAAGTAAAAAAACTAAATGCACAGAACTAAACTGTTTGAGATTTTTAAATGTAACGAGAATTCTAGTAAATCATTTATATATTGAACCAGATTAAATTACTGAATATCAAGAGTACTCATTGGCTGACTTGCAGTGTAGTCTGGCAATTGACAATAACAGGTATTGTATATAATTATTTCAAAATAATATATTATTTAATTAATTATTTTAAATAATTTTTAGATATATATTATCCGGAGTAGTTTTTTATGGACATGATCATTATATAGCGTATGTAAGCCGTGTAAATAGATGGGAAGTGCACAAAGATTTGGCAAAAAAAATTCAAAGTACCCCTAGTTCAACAAATATAAAACAACATGTAATTTTGTATGTGAAAGAGTAAAAAAAAGACATGTACATTGGTACAAAAGTCAACTATAGCAATAAGAGATGTCTTTTTTTTAATTAAACTAAAAGACAAAAAGGTTATATTTTATTATTTTTAAATTTATATTAAGCGTTTGTTACAAGATAAATAAAAGTAATAAGAATCAATAATTAATTAAATCAATTTTATTTTTTTCAATTTTCCTTTTACCAAGCTCATATTTGATGGCCATGAGCTTATAATATTCAATAACCCATGTTATGTTCCTACAAATATAGAGTAAAACGAATTAATAATACATTTAAAAAAATAAATTATTAATTTATGTTTATTGTAATACTACCATGTATTAAGACTATAAGGGTAAGAAACAATTATTCTATATTAAACTTATATTAAATAGTAGCCCGATATATTCTGTAAAATACTTCTGTGAGTTGTATATTTCAATTGTGTATTACATAATATAATTTTAAATTATACTATAAACACCAATGATTGGTATGATTTTTAGACTCGAAATTATAAATAAGTTAGCGGCTATTTGCAAAATGTTAGCAGCATATTTCAATTTGTAGCTCAAAAGGGGGTGTAGCGTGAAGTTGCGCCCCATCTTATATTTTTATCATACCGTGAGGGTAATTTATTCGCAAATTCTGAAAATTCTTGCAAAATGATAACATAACTTTCAAAAAAATTGGTCATGATGGGGCGGCCAACTTCACGCACATGGGAGGCCATACTACAGCATAGTGGTTGAGACGACAACAATTATCCACTGCCCGGATTTGTTCTTAATTACACTACGTTATTTGTCTAACGCCTAAACGTACGGGACACCTACTCAGAAGATTCCATATACTTCAATTTGAGCATTAAAGCACTTTGTATTCAGCAGCGAATACAGCATTAAACATTGTTTAACCGATGAAATCCGTAGGATCTGGCCATTATTATTATTGCATATAGTTACAAAATAGATGTAAATATCATGTTATTGAATGCAAATACATAGCATTTTCTGTTGTTGTAAAAAACTAAAATAAATTATAAATATTTTATTTATTTTACATATAAATATGTAAATATTACAAAAGATCATCACTATATTATGAAAAATGAATTGTTATGGTTTTTTTAAACGAAATGGTGCATGAATAAGATGATTGCCGATTCTGGTCTCAATGTCGGTTGTACTGGTATCTTTAAAATCGTGTATGCGTCGAACTGCATCTGATAACAATCAATGAAAAAAAATTTATTCATGTAACACTTAAACTTTTCAAATATTATTTATGTATGTTAGTGTATCAAAATCAAAATTTGAACTTGTAGTTCACTAGAAACAATGGACAAACAGACAAACAAATTATGTTTAGATTAAATACAAAAAATAGTGCCTTGAATGTTTGGCAAGTAAAATACATTGAAGAACAGATTACAAGAGTTATATATAGTTATAGTGAGGACAAAAGCTATTGTCTTCTAGAAGATGGACAAATTAAAATGAGTGATTTTCAAACATATTATTATATATATATTGATATGTAAGCTTTAGGCATATTGTTTAAAAATTAACTGCAGCTTTCAGAAACTACCAAACAATAATTATGGGTGCATATAAACAATCATCAAATATTTAATGAAACATTATAGCTATGAGCTATACACTATGAGCTCATATAACTAGTATTATATAATTATAAGTTATTTATAAAAATGTAGTATACTAACCATGAATTATACTGCATATTGAGAGGCTGGAAAATTTCTTTTTTTTTGGTTCCTGCCAAAGTAGGAGTAATTTTGAAGTAGTTCATCTTTGAATAGTTTGTTTAAAATTCTTGCTGTATAATTTTTACTTTCGATCCTCCAGACAAGGATAATTCTTTTACCTGAGAAATATATTAGAAGCTATTGTTAATGAATTTACCAAATAATACAAAAGAAGTGCTTACTAACCAATTTTTTTCTACAAGTTGGAGAGTAGAATTTGATTTTCAATGTTTATTAGATCATTCTCACTTTCTAAAGGAAATAAACAGTCTAAATTGGAGAAGTCTTCTTTTTCGATATCCAAGTGATTATCCTTAAACACAGTTATTTTCTTTAATTGTTTATTGATGGATTTCAATTCAATTTTCATGACAACTTGATTGGCCAAAAGTTTTCTCAAACAAACATCTAAGTATGAATAATAATCAAATGAAATAAAAATGTATAAATATACTACTTGGTTATTACTTATTTCTAGGCATTAATAATCATTAATAAAATGTATTAACACATATATGTATAAGCACGCTTGATGTATTATATATTTTTATGTATAAAAAACTAAATAAGTATACAAAAAAAAGCTTAAAGTAATATGTATATTATGCTTATGTAATAACGTTTTACACATTGATAATTTATTATCATAATAAAACATAATACTTTTAGTACTATTTATCTTAACTTTTCAATCACTTTTTTTCATTTTTAATTGTCTCTATTAAAAGCTATAACTTAAAAAGGATATTTGCTTTTTGTTTCACGTTATTGTATAAGATTTAGTTTTTCAAATACCAATAAAATAAATGTATATAATATATACATAATATTATGTTGTTATCAATATAATGATCAATTTATAAATTTACCAGGTGGTAGACTATTCAGCATTTGTTGAGACGAAAATTGTTTTTTGGGAGAGTTAAAAGCTACAGTGTGTTGATTTTTTAGAGAGAGTAGTTTAGAGTTGGTACGTTTACCACTTTTAAAAATAAATTCTAAATAAAACAAAAATAACAAATATTACACAAAACTGATAAAGAACTAAATATAACACAATTGTAATTGTATACCTGGAGAATTTCTGCAGTAATTATAATGCATTGTATTTATTCTGTTTACTAGCATTTATATCAATAGTATTGTAATCAAACAAATTATCTGGACTTAGTTCACGCCTTTTTTGAGTAAATGAATATTCTGAAAAATTGAATGAAATAATTATTACAGAATGATGTTTTTTGGCTAGGGCTTTATATAACACCTACCACCATTGGCATTATCTATCATGTTATGATCCTCAATGGTATTGAAAATACTGCTATGATTATATGGAGATCTGTAGGTTGGTTTTCCTTTTTTCAGAGAATTCAAAAAGGTCTAATTGCTGCTTTTCTGAGATAAATACTCTAGACATTAAAATAAAAATTATTATTAGATCATTTTGTATTGCTTGAATATAATATGTGACACTCACCACCACCATTGGATATCATGTTATGATCATCATAGGTATTGAAAATACTATGATTATATGGATATCTATGGGTTGGTTTTACTTTTTTAGGAGAATTAAATTGAGTCTGTTCACTGCTCTTCTGATATAAATACTTTAGAAATAAAAATAAAAATAATTATTAGATCATTCTGTATTTATTTGTAATGACATGAGCTGAGGGAGACCTTGAATTCTCCGTAGTACTAGTTATTATTTTATTGCTGGTGTTACTTGGTAAATACAATTCACTTTCGGATGTGACAGTAGCAGGTGCATTCAAATTATAATTATGATTCTGTTGTTCATGGAGTATTGTAGCGCCACATGTTTGAAACCAAGATATAAGTACCTCATCATCATATTCATCATCAATCAATGATGGTGTAGTGGAAGCCAAGTAATTAGATTCATCATTTTAAGGTGGATATTCATCTAAACTATTTGTTATTGTTGAAAGGTTTTCACGATCAATAGTTTAATTTGGAGCAATGCAATTAGAATCAGTGTTATCACAACATTCAGATGTACACTTCCTTTTTGTTGCTAAGTAAAACCTTAATGATTTTAATCCTGTTAAT